AAATACATAGTCACAAATCAGTTACAATATTTATAATTGGAAACACCCAAATTAATTAGAGGCATCAGTTATATATCTATTATATAGTCTATCATTTACCAAGAAATCAGCTGTTTCTCTTTTAACATAGATTTTTTTTTAATTTCTCCAGTCCATAAAATTCTGTTTTTAAAGATTTTATTTATTTTTATTTTTATATTTATTTATATTTATATTTATTAATTATTTATTATTTTATTTATTTATTTATTTGACAGAAATCACAAGTAGGCAGAGAGAGAGGGGGAAACAGGCTCCGCACTGAGCAGAGAGCCCAATGCGGGGCTTGATCCCAGGACCCTGAGACCATGACCTGAGCCAAAGGCAGAGTGTTAACCCACTCAGCCACCCAGCCGCCCCCACAAAATTCTTATTCTCAAGACAGTTACTTTGGCACATGCAAACAAACGCACTATAGTTCCATAATCTCTTACTTGTAATTATAACTTTTTTAAATGCTCTAAAAAGATTAAGGTTCTTGGTAAATAATTTGAGGACAAAACCTGACCTGAACTAATGTGGCATTTATTTATAGTCTATTTTTCCCACTTAGTATAAATGAATATTCATATGTTTAACTGCAGAAATGCTAATGTGTTTAATTATGGAATGGTCTCTAACACCTACGTTCTCTCTAAATATTATTTTCTAAATAGAAACCACTAAAAGGAACCAATCTCCTTAGAGAAATAACTGATTCCCAGGTCTGGAAAACATCATGTGCCAGAAAACAAGGAAACCATCAAAGACTAATGGGTGATATCAAACCAACTTGAAGGGACTCCCATTGCTCCCGCTGCTCCAAATTGGAGCAATTTGGACATTAAGAATAAATGTTGACTGCAACTGATTTAAATACATCAACTATATAAAAATAACTCCAACAATACAACTGGACAATTTATAACAAGGGTCAACTTCTTTTCCTAAACCTGGGAATGTTAATCTTTCTAAAATCATGACATCTGTTCCTGCATGTTAAGACTTATTGCCCTCCTCTGAATTCTTCAAATACAGTTAGCATCTACCCCTACAATGATTTCTCTGAATGAGAATTCATTGAGAAATGAAGAAATGAGAAAACAGCTGTCACTCAAATAAAGGCCACAATGCTAGTTTAGGCTGCATATATTTTGGCTGCACACCTAAATATATGCATATATACGTGTACTTGTTACATATATTGTTGTGAATGTATAAATACATACACACATACACATCACAATACTGTATGGCATACATTCCTTTGTTATTGTTCTTCTGTTAAATATAGTTGCATACTCTATAAATGACCTGCTTTATCAGATATGTAAACTGTTCCCAGTTTTTATTACAAGTGAAGCTGTGCTGAAATTCCTTCCACATAAATCTTTATGTCCATCTCTACTTCCTTAAAATGAATTCTTAGATGTAGTCTTCATAAGTCAAAGTATATAAACACTTATGAAGACCTTGAAAAATATCACCATATTGTCCCTCCAGAGAAGTAGTACCAATTAACACTCTAATTAACTATGTATGAGTGCACCCAATGTATCCAATCCTTGACATTATAATTCTTTAAATCTTTCCAATTTGAAGGGGGAAATAACAACTATATTTTAACTGCATCTCTAATTAACAAATGAAAAATTGTTTTCACGTTTCTTGGTTATTTATATTTTACTTTTTATATATTTCTTATATATTTTTTATAAGTTGCATTTTCATTGTATTTCATATTTTGCCAGTTGGATTATAAAATCTCTTTGTACATATATTTTTTATGATTGTATTTATTGATAGATTTAAGAGAGAGAAAAAGGGAGCAAGCAGGGGGAGGGAGAAAGACAAGGAGACTCCTTGCTGAGTGCTGAACCAGACACAGGGCTCGTTGAGTGCTGAACCAGACGCAGGGCTCGATCTCACAGCCCCAAGATTATGACCTGAGCCGAAATTAAGAGACCAACTGAGCCACCCAGGTGCCCCTCTTTGTATATATATTTAATCTGTCATATGCTTCAAATATGTGTCCAAATTTCAAATAATCCTTTTGCTCTGGTTATGTTTTATAGTACAGAAATTCTTTTACATTTTCGTGAGTTAATCTAGACACCAAGGAAGCAACAACTTAGAGATCTGAACTTTGAAGTCAGAAACTGGATTGAAAACCTGGCTTAAATAGTTATTAGATGTGTGACCATGGGCAAACTAATTTCTCTGAGACTTAGCTTTCTTATCTGTAAAAGGGGGATAACACCCCATACTATACAGTTGTTATGAGGATTATATTCATTCATTTCTTCATTCATTGTTTCCCATCATGTCTCCCAGGCAAAGAAAAAGCACTCATTAATAGCAGCAGGAACAATTATCACTGATAGAGAACACATTTTAATTTTTGATAGCAGCTCTCAAATTTAAGTGTGCGTAAAAAGTCACCTAAGATCCTTGTTTTAAAAAAAAAAAAAAAAAAACTGGATTTCTAGGCTTCAACCCCAGAGTTTTTGATTATATAGGTCCAGCATGAGGCCCTAAAACAAACATTTCTAATAAGCATCCTCGGGTCATTCTGATGCAAGCAGTCCAGGATACTCTTAAAGAAATATTTATGGATTCCGCCTTTGGTAATGTAACTGAAATATCCTAGCTCACTCCAGAATTAAATAAATACTGACCTATATTTTCTCCTATATGCTTATGGGTCCTTTTTTTTTTTTTTTAAGATTTTATTTATTTATTTGACAGAGAGATCACAAGTAAACAGAGAGGCAGGCGGAGAGAGAGGAGGGAGCAGGCTCCCTGCTGAGCAGAGAGCCTGACGCGGGACTCGATCCCAGGGCCCTGAGATCATGACCCCAGCCGAAGGCAGCGGCTTAACCCACTGAGCCACCCAGGCACCCGCTTATGGGTCCTTTTAAAAATATTTAATCCATCTAAAATACATGTTATTAAATAGTGGGCTAATGTTTATTAAATAATCAGATCTTCCTGCTACGATTTGGAAAAAATCTCCTCTATCACCAGAAAATTACTGTTGTTTCCATTACTATACTCTATACTTTAATAACTGGTAAGGACAATCCCCTCATTATTTCTGTTTTTCAAAATTTTCTTACTGATAGTATCACCTGTTTCATTTGCCAATTTTTTTCTGTGTTCAATATATGTTGAAGTATGTGGAGGTAGTAAATTTTACAAATAAAATAAATTAACTTCATAATAACTCTTCCAAAGTCTCAGTGGGGTTTTGCTTAGAATTACACTAAAAATTGAAATTAATTTGGGAATAAATATCTCCCATTTCTTCAAATCTTTCAATATCCAAGTACATTTTCTTCAAAAAGACCTCCTATACTTCTTAATAAACTTTATTCCTTGGTATCTTGTACTTCTGTTACAGAAAAGAAAAGTGGCTTGGAGTGTGAACTTATAAATAAGATTGCTTAGGATAGGATCTAAACTCTAACCATTACAAGCTGCGTGAATGACGTTGAGCAAGTCACTTAATCTTTCCAACCTTCAGTTTCTCATCATAAAATGGGGGCAGCAATAAAGTCTACGTAAGAGGATTGTTTTAAGAATGAAATGAGATAAAAAATTTAAAAAAAAAAAGAATGAAATGAGATAATGAATGTAAAATGGTTTACAGAGTGACTAGTACAGAGGAAATGCTCCATAAATGTTAACCAGTATCATCATTAAGATTAATAAGACCAGGGCACCTGGGTGGCTCAGTGGGTTAAGCCGCTGCCTTCAGCTCAGGTCATGATCTCGGGGTCCTGGGATTGAGCCCCACGTCGGGCTCTCTCCTCAGCAGGGAGCCTGCTTCCCCCCCCTCTCTCTCTGCCTGCCTTTCTGCCTACTTGTAATCTCTGTCTGTCAAATAAATAAATAAAAAATCTTAAAAAAAAAAAAAAAAGATTAATAAGACCATCCTCTTACTTCCTATTTACTGTTTATTTACAAGAAAGGTGCTGATGTTTTCTTTTTTATCTTTGTTCAAATATATCCCCTGAATTTTCTTACTATACCTAATAGTTTTCCAGTTAATTCTCTGAATATGGAAAATATTAACTGCTTAAAACTTAAAGAAGAAATCACAAAAGAAAAAACTATTCAATAAGCTATGCTAAAACAAGTGGTTGGTTAAACAGAAAACATTTAAATTAGGTCCTCAATTCAAACCATATGTCAATATAAATATCAGAAAGAACAAAGAATCAAAGCTAAAATTCAAACCTTAAAAATTCTAGACCAGTCCTAGTAGCACTGTTTATATAGAAAAAAACAAATGGAAAACAAGCGAAATGTCATCTTAAGTAACTGTCAGGTTTTTTTATTTTACCTATTTAGTATATTTATTGTTTATTGCCTGCCTTTCTCCCACATCCCCTTCCCCCTACTTCTAGTCCACACTAAAATATAAGCTCCAGGAGAGTAGAGATTTTTTTTCTGTTTTCTCCACGATGTGTTCCAAGAGCCTGCACCTTGCAAGGAGTAGCAATTAATAAATATCTCCTGAAACAGTTGTCCATCAACAGGAGAATGGATAAACTAGAGGGTATTCGTAATGGAATACTATAATAGCAAAAAATGAACCACAGTTACATACATCATCATGGGTCACTCTCAGAAACATAATACTGAGTGAAAATAGTTTTACAATACGTATGGTATAAAATGCAAAATTATAAAAAAAAAAAAATATGAAGTGTTTAAGGTAAAGCTTCCCAGTGGTATACGTGAAGAGGGACAATTAGGGCTTTATCTTGAAAAATATAAAAATTACCAAAATACATTTCATTGTTCACAAAAGTTAGGTCTATTACTCTAATTACTTTAATCACTTTTCTTAGTGATTACTTTAAAAAGGAAAAAAAAGAAACAAAACTTCGTATCACCTCACTTGCTAAAAAGAAAATGGAAACCCAAACACAAAATAAAATATTTAAACAGTGGTAAAGTAAAGCCAGACATACCTATAAGTTCAGGTGGGTTTCTTTCATTAAACCGCTCACAGAGACGAATGAATGTCTCAGTATTCTCAGTTGTAGGGCACTCGCCGTGTCTAGTAATATAGAAACTTTTTTTTTAAGAAGAAATTGCAAATTTCAGCAAAAGGTTTCAATATTAAAGAATCTTAATACATGACTTACCCTTTACATTGAAGTTTTATATATTTGATTCCTTCTTTTTCTATGTCATTTCTGTCATAGAACCTCGAAGTATTTGTCAAATCCACTAACAAGCCCATTTTAACCTTAAAAAAAAGAGAGAGAGAAGAAAAAGAGAAAAAAGCAGATTTACTAGTAACTGAATTTGTTCTAAAACAAACTGATTAAATGGCAATACTCCAGTTCATCCATCTACCTTGAGAGAGATTTTATGTTCACTCTACTAATGAACAAAAGCATCACTTACTCAAGTCTTATTCAAGGTACAAGAACTTAGAAGGCACTAAATGAAATAAATTAAACCTCAAACCGGTGAGAGAACTCGAACATAAGCAAAACGCAGTCCACTTCAACATCACAGAAGTCTACCTAAAAATGCAGACATGGATGCAGTTTTCTAAGTCTGCCCCCCCAACCTATAATTCATTAGACAAGAGGATACAGCAAGAATAGCATGTATGTGAAATACACCCCAACCCTCAAGCACACATCAACCCAGCATTCCAAGCAGCTATCACTATACCACATGCTAGGCAGTAAAATTCTAACGTGTATTATATAAGGCAAAAAGTATGTACAGTCAAAATTTTCTTATTATAAATCCCTTAAATCATCAGTAAAGAACAGTACACAAGGCCATAACTGTGCATCTCATTGAAGATTTAATCCCATCTGTCAGCCAGTTTTTCTTCCTGCATTGGAACAAAAATCATTATTTATTCTGTTGAGCATTAACTAATGTAGTTGGCTTGTGATCAGGGACCAAGTGGCTTAAAAAATCCTTAACAACTAGAATCACATTCAGACTAATAAGAGAGTCTCACTAAGATACGCACACTGGAACTGAGCCACGTAAAAGAACAGATAACTCACACATCCTCTGCCCCAGTCTGAAGCACATATTCTCTGGGAAGAATGACAAGGGAAACAATCAGCACTTTTAAAATTGTTATTTGTCTCTCTTTTATTATCACTTTTACTGAGTACCTAGTGTTGGATGTGCCTGAAGGAGACTGGGTTACATAATGATTTGACTCCACCGTTAGAGGGGGGGGAAAACGGCAAAGACATTTATATTTCACGCACAAAAAAACTGACAAAACTAACAAAATTGTTTGTTTCCAAAATATTAACTAGCTACCACATGTGTTCCACTAATTTCTCCAGATTCCTTAGTTTAAGTGCGGATGAGAGCTAGGTCTACGAATCACGTGAGCTCTTACAGGAAATGTATTTCTTAACGCATTTTCTACAATCTGCCACCCCTGGGCCTACTTCTCTTCCCACACAGCTTCTGCGGTGATCTTAATTCCTTCAGAGGACATGTATTGTCAAACACAGAGTTAGATCTCATTAATAGAGCTTCTCAGAGAGTTAGAATTAGAACCCATGTTGTTTGTATCCGGATCCAAAATAAGATATGGATCAAAAGTGGAGATGGACAAGAAAATACGAATTTTCTAAATACATAGAAACACTTTAGACAAGGAAATGGAGAAACTGTACTGTATGACTTAACTGCCTGGAGCCCCATATCTAAGTATGTATGTATGTGCTTGTGTGTTGTGCGCCTGTATGGATAATGTGTTTGTGTGTGAATGTATCTGCATACACATATACACATACATATACTACATATACATATTTATTTTTCATAATAGTCCAACCCATGAAGTAAGGATAATAAGAGTATCTACTTCATGGAGTTATTGTGTGATTCAATAAAGGCACTGTTCTGTGCCAAGAACTATACTATAAGCTTTATATGCACTAATTTTATTTACAGATGAGGAAACTGAATCAGGAAGAGATTATGTAACTTGCCCACAGAGCTGTAAGTGGCAAACTGGAAATCAAAACCAAGATGTGGCTTCTAAGCCCAAACTCTTACCATACCAACCAGGAAATATTTAATGCTCTATAAATGTTAACTAAGACTTTCAAAGTCATTATTGATAATGAAAATAAAAGTTAAAAGTTTATAAAAAATATAAACAGAGACTCAAAAAACTATATCAAGAAAAGGGATGAGTAAATCTCAAATATCTCATATTTCAAATCTCATATATCAAAATATGGTTTTCAAGGTAAAGTAAATTTCATATATCAAAATATGGTTTTCAAAATCTAAGTGACAATTTTTCTATCCCACAATAGAAACCCTTGCACGTAATGAGTAGCAATATTGGATGAATGTACTAAAACAGAAGAGTACAAACAGTAACAAGTTGAATTATGTCCCCTAAAAAAATATGTTCTAGTCCTAACTCCTAGTACCTGTGAATGTGATATTATTGGGAAATAGGGCTATAGGGTCTTTATAAATATAATCAAGTTAAGATGAGATCACACTGGATTAGGGAGCCCTTAAAAAACAGAAATTTGGACAGACACACACAGGGAGATGTCAACAAGAACGATGACCCACAGAGCTACAAGCCAAGGAATGCCCAGGATCACTGGCATTAACCAGAAGCTAGCAGAAAAGAGTAAATGGAAAAGATTCTCCTTCCAAGCCTCCAAAAGGAATCAACCTTTCCTGCATCTTGATTTAGAACTTCCAGTGTCCAGAACTGTGAGAGAATAAATGTCTGTTTTAAGTCACCCAGTTTGTGGTAATTTGTTACAAGAGCCCTAGGAAGCTAATTTAATCAGTATTATGTCAGAATAATATAAAAAATAATGAAGTTTCATTTAGGAAAATAGTTTGGCCCTTTCTTGTAAAATTAGGTATGCACACAACCATCACACTCTAAATATTTATCCCAGAAACTGGAAACTATACATGAATGTTCACATAACTTTGTGTGCAATACCCCACAACTGCAAATAACTCAAATTGGTTAAAATGGTTATTTAAGCATTCAGTGGGAGAAGAGTTTAATAAACTCTGATACATCTAAACAAGTGAATAATATTCGACAATTAAAAAGAACAAACTTTTTGTTGAAACATACAACTTGGATGGACCTCAAGGGCATTATGCTTAGTGAAAAAAGCCAATCCCAAAATGCCACATACTGTTTTATTCCATTTATATAACATTCTCAAAATGACAAAGCTACAGAGATGGAAAAGAGATTAGTAGGTGCCAGTGTGCAGCAATGGGGGGTGGGTAGAATCTGACTATAAGGGGGTAGCATGAGAGAGAGTTCCTTTGTGGAGATGAAAAAGTTCTGTAACTAATACCACGAATCTATACATTGGATCAAACTGCAGAGAACTATACACACATACACACAAATGATCTAAAAACTGGTAAAAACTAAACAAGGTCTGTAATCAATTCAAAAGTACTGTACAAATGTCAATTTCCTGCTTTGATATTGTACTACAATTATATAAGATGTCACCATTGGGAACACCATTAGGAAAAGCTGGGAGGCGGGTTCACAGAATTCTATGCAAAATTTCTGCAACTTCCTTTTGGTCAATAAATAATTTCAAAATAAGAAGTTTTTTTTACAGCCACCTGAAGAACAAGAGAGGGATAAAACATACTAAAACAATATAAAAAATGTTTTGTTTCTTACCTTCAGACTCTTTAGATAATTTGAGAGCATACTGGGATGGAACCGATTTTCTTCAGCAACTTGACTATCATATCTTGGTCCTAACATTGTCTTCAGAGGTAAGAATCTTCCTAAACAACATTAAGATAGGTAACAATTTTCATTAAAGAAAATGTTCCACGTTGAAACTATAATTAGCTATTCTCAAAATCACTTTCTTAAAACATTTTAAGTGGAACTGTTCATGAAGTATTCTTAATCTAAACTACACTTTTAAAAGGTACCACCTTAGAATTTTTTAAGGACAACATAAATTCCAGAAATTGACAATCAAATAGAATAGCAAAAGAAAGGAGCTCCTGGGTAGCTCAGTCAGGTGAGCATCCAACTCTTGGTTTCAGCTCAGGGGTCACAGCATCGAAACCCACATGGGGCTCCAAGCTCAGCAGGGAGTCTGCTTGAGATTCTTTCCCCCTCCTTCTCTCTCCCCTTCTGCTCCTCCCCAGAGCACGCATGCCCTCTCTCTCCCTCTCTCTAAAATAGAAAAATAAGTATTAAAGAAAAAAAAAAAGAATAGCAAAAGAAAAACTACCAGTGAATGGAACTTCCAAAAAAACCTCCTTAAGTTGGGGAGCAGGTATGAACAAAATAAGTAAAGTGGATTAAGAGGTACAAACTTCCAGTTATAAAATAAGTATGTCACAGTACAGCTTAGGATAGAGTCAATAATATTGTAATAACATTGTATGGTGACAGACGGTAACTACATTTATTCTAGTGAGCACTAATTTACAAAACAGTCAAATCATTACACTGTACACCTGAAACTACGAAAACATTGTATATCAACTATACTTCATTAATAAAAAATTTTAAGTAAAAGTAATTTTAAAATTTTTAAAAATTTGTTGTTTAAAAAAGGACTAAGGTTTTAAACTACTACATTAAAAAGTTATTGCCTTAAAGGTTTTAAAGATATAATACTAGAAAACTGATAATGGAGGGGCGCCTGGGTGGCTCAGTGGGTTAAGCCTCTGCCTTCGGCTCAGGTCATGATCCCAGGGTCCTGGGATCGAGCCCCGCGTCGGGATCTCTGCTCAACGGGGAGCCTGCTTCCCCTCTCTCTCTCTGCCTGCCTCCCTGCCTACTTGTGATCTCTGTCCATCAAATAAATAAATAAAATCTTAAAAAAAAAAACTGATAATGGAGAGCATTAAATCAGTCCTTAAAATTCCTAATTATACTACCCTACTATGAGGTTGGAACCTTCTCCAACTTATGCACTTTATCCTGCACTCCAGGATAGGGACAATGCTGAGAAGCATGCTAATCAAAATCACTCTTAAAACCACAACCGGTGATCATAATTTCAACAAGACTAACTGACCCTTTTGACCCTTTTTTTTCCTGAATCATATCTAAGCACAGGAGGAGTTACCTTATATAATCAATTTTAAAATCAACTATTTTAACTGACTTATATCTTAAAACACAATAATTATCAGTAGGAATAAATAGCTACCTAAAACAACATGAGTGAAACCTTAACATTTGTCCAGAGACTTTAACCTAAATTTCATAAAAAATAATTTTTTTAAGTTTTATGTTTTGGCTCAGTCGGTTAAGCATCTCCCTTCAGCTCAGGTCATGATCGCAGGGACTTGGGATTGAGTCCCACATCGGGCTCCCTGCTCAGTAGGGAGTCTGCTTCTCCCTCTATTGCTCCCCCTGCTCATGATCTTTCTCTCTCTCCCCCTCTCCCTCTCCATCCCTCTTTCTCTCTCTCAGATAAATAAAATCATTTAAAAAAAAATAAAGTTTTACATTTTATGTACCAAACCACCCAAGATCACCAATAACCCCCACATTGCTAAATCCGATAGACAATCTCAGTTCTCAAAGAACTGCCCACTTTTTAATTCAAGTTCACTTTTTAATTCAATTTAATTTTTAATTCTTAAATCACTTTTTTACTTGGCTTTTTGGCTACTACAACCCCTTGGTTTTCACCCCATTTCTCTGACCTCTACCTCTCAACCTCCTTTTTCGGGCTCCTCCTTATCTCCCTGACCCTTCAATGTTTTGTCCCAGGGCTCTGTCCTTGGACCTCCTATCAACATTCACTCACTCGCCTGGTGTCTCATCTCATCACAGAGCTTTAAAAGCCATGAATGTGCTGCTGACTCATAATGTGCATTTCCAGTCCAAACCTCTCCCTGAACTCTAAGCTCGGATATCAAGCTGCCTACATGACTTAGTCTGTAGTTGATGTCTAACGGATGTCTCAGACCTGATCTCCTAACCTGAACTCTCAACATTCAAGCACTTAAAATGTGCTCCTCTCATGGTCTTCCTCATCTCAGCAAATTATAACACTATTTTTTCAGTAGCTCAGGCCAAGCCCTTTGGCATTATCCTTGACCCCTGTCTTTTTCTCATACCCCATTTTCTTTTTTTTTTTTTTACTTCTGAAATTCTTTTTTTATTATTTTTTATTAAATATAATGTATTATTTGCCCCAGGGGTACAGGTCTGTGAATCATCAGGCTTACACATTTCACAGTTTTTTTTTTACACATCATCAGGCTTTACACATTTCACACACTCACCATAGCATATACCCTCCCCAATGTCCACATCCCAACCACCCTCTCCACACCTCCCCTCCCCCCAGCAACCCTCTGTTTTGTGAGATTAAGAGTCTCTTATGGTTTGTCTCCCTCCCGATTCCATTTGGTTTCATTTTTTCCTTCCCCACTCCCCAAACCCTCCACTCTGCCTCTCAAATTCCTCATATCAGGGAGATCATATGATAACTGTCTTTCTCTGATTGACTTATTTCGCTCAGCATAATACCCTCTAGTTCCATCCACATCATTGCAAATGGCAAGATTTCATTTCTTTTGATGGCTGCATAGTACTCCATTGTATATTTATACCACTTCTTCTTTATCCATTCATTTGTTGATGGACATCTAGGTTCTTTCCATAGTTTGGCTATTGTGGACATTGCTGCTATAAACATTTGGGCGTGTGTTCCCCTTGGATCACTACATTTGTATCTTTAGGGTAAATACCCAGTAGTGTGATTGCTGGGTCGTAAGGTAGCTCTATTTTCAGCTTTTTGAGGAAGCTCCATGCTGTTTTTCAGAGTGGCTGCACCAGCTTGCATTCCCACCAACAGTGTAGGAGGGTTCCCCTTTCTCTGCATCCTCTCCAACATCTGTTGTTTCCTGACTTGTTAATTTTAGCCACTCTGACTGGTGTGAGGCAGTATATCTCATTGTGGTTTTGATTCATATTTCCCTGATGCTAAGTGATGTTGAGCATTTTTTCATGTGTCTGCTGGCCATCAGAAATGTCTGTTCACGTTCTCTGCCCATTTCTTGACTGGATTATTCTTTGCGTGTTGAGTTCGATACGTTCTTTATATATTTTGGATACTAGCCCTTTATCTGATATGTCATTTGCGAATATCTTCTCCCATTCTGTCAGTTGTCTTTGGTTTTGTTGACTGTTTCCTTTGCTGTGCAAAAGCTTTTGATCTTGATGAAGTCCCAATAGTCCATTTTTCCCCCAGCTTCCCTTGCCTTTGGCGATGTTTCTAGGAAGAAGTTGCTTCGGCTGAGGTCGAAGAGGTTGCTGCCTGTGTTCTCCTCAAGGATTTTGATGGATTCCTATCTCACATTAAGGTCTTTCATCCATTTTGAGTCTATTTTTGTGTGTGGTGTAAGGAAATGGTTCAGTTTCATTCTTCTGCATCTCACACCCCATTTTCAATCTATCAGCAAATCCTCTCAGATCTATCTTCAAAACATATCTAGAATCTAACCACTTCTCACCACCTCTACCATCAACTCACATTAATTATTATACCACATTTGGCTTATTTAATAAATATTTAAAGAGTACTTATTATGTACTAAGCACTGTTCTAGGTACATGGAATGCATCAGTGAAAAGAAAAAAAAAAAAAAAAAAAAAAAAAAACAGATAAAAATCCCTGCCCTCAGGGGCACCTGGATGGCTCAGTCAGTTAAGCGCCTGCCTTCGGCTCTGGTCATGATCCCAGGATCCTGGGATTGAGCCCCGCATCAGGCTCTCTGATTAGCAGGGAGCCTGCTTCTCCCTCTCCCTCTCTGCTTATGTGCTATCTCTCGCTCTCTCTCTCTCAAATAAAAATAAATAAAATCTTTTAAAAAAATCCCTGCCCTCAAAGAGCTTACACTCTATTGGGAAAAGATAAACCATAAACAAGAAACATAATAATTAAGTAAGTAATACATGTTAGAAGATTCTCCCACTAGACCCTCTCTCCTTCTCACTGTTGTCTCAGAGGCCCAATCCTGCTTCCATCAGCTCCTCCAGGCTTCACTTTCCTTATCCAATGTTAGAGTCCACAGCTGATCACCACGGTCAGTCCCACTAAATACCCTTAACCTCCCTGATCCTCCATATCACTCAGCCACACTTAATCTAGAAAAAAACAGACCTCAATAAACTCAACCACCTGACTTCTTTGGGCCTAAACCTATACAGCTCAGAGCTCCCAAAGAAAAATTTTACCACATAGCAGATGGCTGACACCATAAACTATGTCTAAATCATCTCCCTAGCCCTAAGGACTAACACAAAGTAGACTCTCAAGTATTTGCTAGGTAAAATGACTCCAAAGTCACCATCCCTATCACAATACTGTTTCATATTACATTCCTACAGTTAGTTTCAAGTAAGTTCTTCACACATAATAAGCACAAGATAATTTTATGTTGAATAATCTCCATTTAAGGAATGAGAATTTTGGTTTTTTCAAAGTGTTCCCCTAAAATCTATCACTCATAAGGTGAAAAAGAGAATTTTTCAAAAATAAAGCTTGGCCCTATCTCCAGGAGCTCTCCCTCATTGGAAGTCTGCTTTAATCAGAGGAAGTAACTTCATAGTGCAACAGATTATATATCTAATTAGTACCATCTTCTTTCTGATTCAAGAAAATTATAAACATCTAATACTACTGGATGTATCCTAAGGTTCACATTTAGAAAATGTAAACAGCCATAACACATTTTCCTAAATATGCCAAATACTAAGGAAATTATACAATAAACATGGATTACTTCAGTGAGTTTAAGCCTCTGCCTTCAGCTCAGGTCATGATCTCAGGGTCCTGGGATTGATCCCCACATCGGGTTCTCTGCCCAGCAGGGAGCCTGCTTCCCCCTCTCTCTCTGCCTGCCTCTCTGCCTACTTGTGATCTCTATCTCTCTGTCAAATAAATTTCAAAAATCTTAATAAAAAAGAAAGAAAGAAAGAAAATAAGAGGTAGAAAGTGGAATGTGAATTATTCCTTATTTTTCACTAAAGCTTGCAAGAATATAACCAGTATTTTTTGCTCCACCTACTGTAAAACATTGCTAACATGCATTTCCAAAATACACAATGTGGCATGAACACTCGTAGGAGAGGCAGAGACAGAACTTTAAGGGAAATTTACAGAAACTTATCAAGAATCATACATTGTGGGGCGCCTGGGTGGCTCAGTGGGTTTTAAAGCCTCTGCCTTCAGCTCAGGTCGTGATAGCAAGGTCCTGGGATTGAGCCCCGCATCGGGCTCTCTGCTCAGTAGGGAGCCTGCTTCCTCCTCTCTTTCTCTGCCCGCCTCTCCGCCTACTTGTAATCTGTCTGTCAAATAAATAAATAAAATCTTTAAAAAAAAAAAAAAGAATCGTACATTGTGTTCACTGTACTTTCTAATAAGCATCACAACCAAAGCAATATTGATTACTAGTAAAAATCCAGCTCAATTGTTAGAGGCCTAGGGTTCTGTCCAGGGATCATAGTTAATCTAATAGATGAGCTTAGTATCTCACTGAACCACAATAATTAAAGAGTCTAATTTTGGGAAGCCAAAATATTCCAATACAATAATAAGGAAAAGCTTAATTCCTGGCCCTTGATTCCTAGCAGAGGGAGAAAAAAAGGCACACAACTCTATTTCTGAGAGAGGCATAAAGCTGCCTGGAAGTCAGCACTTTACCTGCTGCTATCTACCCCAAGTCAGTGCCACACTTGTTCTAGTTAACAATAAGTCAGTGTTCTGATCTTTGTCACTGCCAGCCTGCACATTACATGAGAACTCTGATATTTAAACAATTTTTCTAACTCCAAATAAAAAAATGATCACTTTGGCAAGAACTTTATGATCTTGTTTTTCTCACAAATCAGCATAGCAGATAATTCTAATGAAAGAATCCAGGAAACATGCTCCAAGCTAGAAAAGAAACCATATATCTGGGATGCCTGGGTGGCTCAGTTGGTTTAGCATCTGCCTTCAGCTCAGGTCATCATCCCAGTGTCCTAGGATTGAGTCCCACATCGGACTCCTTGTTCAGCCGGAAGCTTGCTGCTCTCCCTGCTTGTGTGCCGGCACGCTCGCTCGCTCTCTCTCTCTCTCTCTCTCCCTGACAAATAAATAATAAATAAAATCTTTAAAAAAAAAAAAAAGAAGAAGAAGAAGCCACTGATCTAAATCTAGAGGCTTTTCCATAACTCCATAGAAAAAAACCACATGTGGGGCGCCTGGGTGGCTCAGTGGGTTAAAGCCTCTGCCTTCGGCTCGGGTCATGGTCCCGGCGTCCTGGGATCGAGCCCCATATGGGGCTCTCTGCTCAGCGGGGAGCCTGCTTCCTCCCCTCTCTCTCTCTCTCTCTCTCTCTGCCTGCCTCTCTGCCTACTTGTGATCTCTCTCTCTCTGTCAAATAAATAAAATGTTTAAAAAAAAGAAAAAAACCACATGTAATAAAGAAAGGATTCACTACAAAGTTAGAGATGGTAAGGGGGAAAGTCAAAACGGCCTACAAAGAAAAATGTAAAGAACTGTCTGTGATCAATTAATTTGAATAAGTACAATGATTACCAAGAACAACTGCTTTTACTACAAGTGAAAATGCATATAAAAACGGTTAGAGTTGGGGCACTTGGGTGGCTCAGTGGGTTAAGCCTCTGCCTTTGGCTCAGGTCATGATCTCAGGGTCCTGGGATCAAGCGCCGCATTGGGCTCCCTGCTCAGCAGACAGCCTGCTTCCCCCTCTCTTTGCCTGCCTCTCTGCCTAGTTGTGATTTCTCTCTCTCTGTCAAATAAATAAATAAACTCTTAAAAAAAAAAAAAAAGGAGTGTCTAGGTGGCAGAGTCACTTAAGCAACCACCTCTTGATTTCAGCTCAGGTCATGACCTCAGGATGGTGAGATTGAGTCCTGCACCAAGCTCTGCATTCAGGAGGGAGTCAGAGGCTGCTTGAGATTCTCTGCCCCTACCCTTGCTTGTATTCTCTCTCTCTCTCTCTCTCTCTCTAATAAATCTTTTTTAAAAAATGGTTAGAGCATGAAGAAAATTTTTTCATTTTCCATTAAAGACATTTCCTCACTGTAAGACTTGCTTAGGTTATCTTTCAGTATTATTTTTAGCCATCATTGATACGGCTCTACTTACTAAGGATTTTATTCAAAATGTGGAAAAAAAAAAAAAAAAAAAAAACACCTGACAAAGTAGGAGAATAAGGAAACCTGAATTTAAAAAGGGCTCTTGGGGCACCTGGGTGGCTCAGTTAAGCATCTGCCTTCGGCCCAGGTCATGATCTCCAGGTTCTGGGATCAAGTCCCACATCCGGCTCCCAGCTCATCAGGGAGTCTGCTTTTGCCTCTCCCCCTGCTTGTGCTCTGTCTCTGTCTCTCCCTCTCTCTTAAATGAATAAAAAAAAAAATATCTTGACAAACCATAAGAGACTCTTAATGTCACAAAACAAACTGAGGGTGGCCGGGGGGAGGGGGGTAGGAGAGAGTAGTGGGGTTATGGACATTGAGGACAGTATGTGCTATGGTGAGTGTTGTGAAGTGTGTAAACCTGGCGATTCACAGACCTGTACCCCTGGGGCTAATAATACATTATATGTTTATAAAAAAATAAAAAATTTTTTAAAAATTAAAAAAAATATTTAAAAAAAATTAAAAAGCACTCTTTCAACAATTTCAAATAACTAGTAAGACATACTATAGATGTATACATAACATGTAATCACAGTTCACTACAAAACCCTTTAATTTTTGTTGCAAAATACCTTCTAGAATAAGCAGCAAGTCGTAGTTCAAATTTAAATCGTTCACTCCTCAAAAACACAGTGTTAGGAAAATGAAAAAGCAAGCCACAGATGGGAGAAAAAAAAAATTTAAGCATATATCCAACGTAGGATTTGTATTTACAATATATAAAGAAGTCTAACAATTCAACAATAAGCTAAAAACCCAATTAAAAAATCAGTACAAGATCTGGACATCTCACAGAAGATATGTGAATTGCCAAGAAGCTCACATACACCACAAACCACAATATGACTAAATACCTATTATGGTGGGTAAAATTAAAAAGACTGACCATACCAAGCCTTGGAGAGGATATGAACTAAACAGAACTCTCAGACATTAATGGTGGGAATGTAAAATGCTATGGCTTTTAAAAAGAGTTTGGCATTTTTTTTTTAAAGGCTAAACATACACCTACCATATGATCCTTTCCTCTCCTAGAAACTGACACAAGAGAAATGAAAGCATATGTCCATACAAATTACTGTACGGGAATGTTCATAGCAGGTTAATTTGTAATAGCCAAAAAGTGCAAACAACCCAAATGACTATCAATGAGTGTATGGATAAACAAATGTGCTGCATCCATTAACAATGGACTACTATTCGGCAATAAAAAGGGATGCACATACAAACATACAAGAACTTGGATAAATCTCAAAACAATAATGCTGAGCAAAAGAATACAGAGACCTCCCCCCCAAACAAGTGTATGCACTATATGATTCCATTTATATTTCTTTAAGTATAGAAAATGTAAACTAATCTATGACAGAAAGCATGTAAGAGATTGCCTGAGGAGGAAGGGATTACAAGGGGCAGTCGAAACTTTGAGAGGTGATGGTTATGTTCACTGTTTTGATTGTAGTGATGGTTTCATGGGTGTTCACTGGAAGTGTGTCTGTGTATGCGGTATTTATCAAACAACACTTTAAAGTTTGTTGTGTGTCAAACTCAAAGACGCAAAAATTCACAACAAAATCGTTTTTAAAAACCAAACTCCAGTTAGTGTGGATCCATTTCAGCACTGGGAAACTTCCCTCTCCTCTTGAACCCTCCATCTCAAGACTGACACTTGTCCCTTCCCCATCCAAGAACCCGGGAAGGTTCATAAACTTCTAAGCTTCAAAGTAATGCCCGCTGTGTTCTTGGGTCCCCAGCTCCTGCCACCCAAACCTCCTGTCTACTTTCGCGTTCGCAAAACTTAGTCGTCCTGGAGAGTGACACGTGCCCCCACCCACCCGCCCATCCCCTCCAATCACTTTCCCAAACACTCAACCACGAAGCTTCGTCCGACCGAGCACATCTCGGTCCTGAAATACCACTAACAAACACGGAACCCCCGAAAGCTACGCCCCTCACACGGCCCACCCACGGGCCCGCGGATATGCAGGGACTCCACCACCACCCCAGTCCGGGTTACCTGCCACCGGCTGGCCGCGCCTCGGACAGTTCAGCCACCGTGGTGGGATCTTGTTATGAGCCATGTCTCGGGGCCGCGCAGAGGCGCCCCCTCCACCAACGCTCGCCGCGCCAACGCCGCCGCCTCCTCGCGGTCGGCTCCGTATTGAGGGTCCGAGGCACCCGAATCCCGGCAGGGGTCGGAATCCCAGCAGCTCCTACCCGGGAAACGTCAGAGGCGGCGCGCCACTTTCATTCAGGATCAACTCCACCACTCTAAGAGAGCCCACAATGCACCGCTACTTCCGCCCCTAATGGCCCCGCCCCCTTCTTTCCGAGGTCAAAGGGAAAGACGGAGAAGCCCGTTAAGAGGGATGGGAAGGAGTTAAAGCCACGGCGAACGGGAGGGGTGCGTCTTCCATTGCCCCGCCCCACCGAGAACGCCCGCTCGGCCTTAGGACTGCTTCGCGCATGCGCGGGTGGCCTCGTCCGGGTTCCCGCAAATGACACGTATTTTGTATTCTTACCTAGTCAGCAGATAGACACCCCTGAAAATGTAGAGAAGCCAGACCTCTTTCCAGGAGTAGATTGATCCGCAGCTTCCACAAAAGCAGCTGTTTTACTGATGAAAGTGTCCTTCCCACCACTGTTAAAGATCTAGAGCCTGATCGCCCTTTTTTCTGCCCAGCTTGGCGTCCCGGCAGGATCTGAGTTTGATCTGAAATTGGGGAAGTTCTCCCTGACATGGATCAGGGAAACAAGCTTTAGAGATATTCTAAGGGCGAGAGGTTGGAATGCCAAAAATGACTTTCTCTTTGGGGGCGGGGGGATACTTGTAAGGATCCATGAAGTATCTGAAATTAATCCCAAAACGGTTTTCAAGAGTTTTGTTTGTACATTTCTGGAGCAAAGTTTCCAAGTACTGGGAAGTATCAGGGGCTCCATCTCTCAAAGTTTCTAACGTGTATAATTGGCAAAGGCGGGAATTGGCTCTGGAGTACCACTACCTGACGGTGTTCTTTGCCTTGCCAAACAAATGGTCTTACCCTTCGAGTTAAACAGAAGTGATTGGAGCATTTTATAAACTCCGTCCTGTAATAAGACTTTCTGTAATTACCAGACTAAAGTTTTAAACATAAAACTGGATAATGGAAAAATTTAATTGTAATGTAGCAATTTGGCTTTAAAGACCAATACTATATTTGAATTGTACGATTGTGAGTTTAGTGGGTGGGTGGCGTATACTTTAAAGTGGGTAGGTGGGAAACTTAAGGAACAGCTCAGCCCCTGAATGCCTGGACCCTCTCAGTAAGACTCAGAATTCTCCCATAAACAGAGAGGTCCTGAGTTAGGTCTCACTCCTGGTCTGCCCTGCTGTTAAAACTACTGAGACCTTTTTGTAAATGTGTCACACCTCTCCTGAAAGGACAAGATAAGATTTTCCTTAGCGACCCGCAGTATACCTAAGTAATTCTCTTCCCTGCTGACAAAGTAAAATGCATACCATGCCCAAAGGGGTGAAGTGTTCGATCCCCCAAATCTCTAGGGATGGAAAAGGTGAGCCTAATCCTGTGATAATATCTCATTTTCCCTTTCTGGGGATGACTCCCCTTGGAAAGTGTCCCCCTCACACACACTGTGTCTACCCAGGGAGCTCAGTCCTAGGCACAGGGAGAGCTTCCCAGAGGCTTCATGCCACCCATGAGTGGCTGTAATTGGTTGTAAGCCATCAGTGTGTGCTTAAGTTTTACATCATTATTGTTTATGCCCTCTCCATCCTTAGTGCCCATAGAGCAAAAGGACCTTATGGCTCCCTTCTGCCCACAAAAGACAGTAGAGTAGGAAAGTGGCATCCAAGTGACTGGGCAGTTTCTCACTAACAGGAATCTTTCTCTTGATGTTTTTCTCTTGTATTTCTGTCTATATCACTCCTAATTCCACATCTCTGCTTTTCCACAAGAGGAAAAATAGATGCCCACAGAAGGACCAACATGACACCTCCCTGGTTTTCTAGAACTCCCAACCTACCCTCATGAATAGGTCTTGGCCTCCTCTTTACCGCTTCTTCATGGGTGAATTCTTCCCTCAAACATCCATTTTGCCAATAAGGAAATGTGTAACAGTAACTAAAAATAAGATTGAATTTTTCCTGTTGACAAAAAGCAGAGAACTTTTCCCCCTTGCCTTTTCCTAGAGCATTCTCTTGAGAAAGCTTCCATTTGTAAATTCTCCCTCATCACTTTGATGGGTGTATAAATCTTTTTAACAGCTAAATGGGCCTCTTGCCTGTCTAACCAAGCAGGAATGTTTTTCTTAGGGCCTAGGAGCCATCTCAGTAAGCAGGAAGGAAGATAGCACTCTTATCTTCCTGTCACCAGGGGAATTTAGCCTAAGGTGACCTGTTCTAAGCTGTAACTACCTGCAAGTCAAAGAGTTAAAGAAAGGTTTGTTTAGGGGATGCCTAGGTGGCTCAGTCATCCCAGGTGGTTCAATTGGTTAAGGATCTGCCTTCTGCTCTGGTCATGATCCCAGGGCCCATCGTGATCATGATCTCCAGGTCCCTGGGATTGAGCACCTTCCCTGGGGCTCCCTACTCAGCGGGGAGCCTGCTTCTCCCTCTCCTTTTGCTTCCCGCTCCCCCTGCTTGTGTGCGCATGTGCTCTGTCTCTCTCTCTCTAACGAATACATAAAATCTTTTTTTTTAAAGTTTGTTTTTCTTTCAAACAATGGCAAATAACTGATACAAGTGGCCATGCCCATTACCAAATGAAGTTAGAAAGAACTAAGAAAGAATGTATAACAAATGGTACTGCCAAGTCCTCCTTACATAACCACTGGTTACCATTTATCTTGGGAATATGTAATCTATGTAGTATATGTGTTTGTCTATAGAAAAGGGTGAGTTTTTTTTTTTCTCTTTTTGCAGTCTCATTAAAGGAATGCCTGTGTCCTAATTGCAGTCTGGTTTAATGTGTATCCAATGATAAAACTGTGTTCTGTCTTTTCTACACTTGTGGAGAGGATTTTCTGGATTGGCAGAAGATTTTATTCCTCATTTTTTCCCCAACAAGTGTATATGCCTCACTGGACTATTAAAGACTATTACAGAAACACTCCTCTGAGTCAAAGCAGTGCCCCCTCAAGCCTTGCATCAGAGTCCAGTCTCCTGCTGCACCCATCTCTATCAATGGCTGATGAAGGGCCAGTTCTGTTCATTCCGACAGCCGGCACATCAGGATGCTCCTATCCAAAAGCTAGCAAAATGTCAGTGAGCAATACTCCCTTTTTTGATCAATTCCCATCTTCCCTAGCTGGCAGGGACTAAGTTGATGCCCTGGGCCTGGCTCCCTTTTTCATTCTGGTGACCCACCGCCTCCACCTCCCGCTTGTACTTTACCAACTATAGTACATAGGAGAAATTCAGAAAGAGACCATGTTGAGTTAAACTTGAGCTAAAGAGGAACATGGGCCACATCTCAAATAGAGGTTTGGGTTCTAAACTCAGGATATGAGGCAAAAGAAGCCAAACTCCGGACTATCCTCCACTGCTCTTTCTTCATTTGAGCACCAAATGAAGTCACTGGCGTTCAGGGTCATGTACACGAAAGCAATCTTCCAACAATAGACTTACATTTTTCACAGCCAGAGTCTCCTCTCTGAGCTTCCCATCTTCCTCCAGGGCATAGGTTCAGGAAGAAGAACAATGAGTAGCCTCTCCCTCTCTTTCCTGTGAGCCTACACAGGTACAGGTAAGTTCCTATGAGTTAAATGTGGGTACGATGTAACTTGTTTGCAGTTAAATTCATACCCACCAACAGCTACTCTAATGTTGTAAACGGGAAGAGGTTGTACCGTGAAACTTCTTATTCATACAAGCTCCTTCCAAGGCCTAATTAGGTATTTGTCGTTCTGTATTTTTTATCTTTTTTTTAAAAGACTTTTATTTTTAAAAGTCTTTAAAATAAAACAAACTTTTATTTTTAAGTAATCGCCACACCCAACGTGGGCTTGAACTCACAACCCCAAGATCAAGAGTTGTCTGCTCTTCCAACTGAGCCAGGCAGGTGCCCCTATATTTTTAATAGTTAAGAGGACCATTTAAGTTGTATAAATTCAGGCTCGTTATTAATTTAATTGTGGGCAAACAAAGAGAAATGTTGAAGTCCAAACACTTAGTACTTCAGAATTCGACCTTATTTGGAAATAGGATCTTTATAGAGGTAATCAAGTTAAAATTCGGTCATTAGGGTGGGCCCTAATTCAGTAGGACTGGTGTCTTGTGATAAGGGGAAATTTGGACATAGAGACAGGTTTACACAGAAGGAAGTGGATGTGGAGACACAGGGTGAAGACAGGCACGTGACTAGAGGAACGTGTCTATAAGCAAAGGAATACCAACGATTGCCAGCAGATACCAGAAGCTAGAAGAAGCAAGGAAAATTCTCCTCTGGGGCTGTCAGAGAGGGCATGACCCTGCCTACAACTTGATTTTGGACTTCTAGCCTCCAATTGTAAGACAGTACATTTGTTGTTTTAAGCCACTCGGTTTGAGATACTTTTTTATAACAGCCCTAGGAAACTAACATAAAGACCCCCCAAAACCTGGATCTCCCCTTGTTCCATCCCATACTTTCTGGATCTAAAGCTCTTGGAGCCAGTGTCCTCTGAACCAAAGTCCCTCACCTTAGTAAAAATGCAGACAACTTTTCCCAAGCCCTTCTATTTTTTTTTTTTCAAATTTTTATTCAAATTCTAGTTAGTTAACGTACAGTGTAATACTGGTTTCAGGAGTAGAATTCAGTGTTTCATCACTCACATACTCAGTGCTCATCATAACAAGTGCCCTCCTTAATACCCGTCACTCATCTAGCCCATCCCCCACCCACCTCTCTCTCAACCCTCAGTTCATTCTCTATGGTTAAGATTCTCTTATGGTTTTTTTCCTTCTCCCCGCCCCTTTCCCATGTGTTCATCTGTTTTGTTTCTTATGTTCCACTTATGAGTGAGATGATATGGGACTTGTCTTTCTCTGACTGACTTATTTTGCTTAGCGTAATACAGTTCCCAAAGCCCTTTAAAGTGAAATTTACCTGGTACACTCTTTAGGCTTTAGTGCCTAAAAGTCTGTTCTAAAGAACTCAGACATGCAGTCATTAGTACGAAATCACTGTTTAAGAGCACTGAGATCTTCAAAGGCAGCTTTAGGTATTTCTTCAGGGGGCAAGCATTAATTAATCCCAAAATTAATAATTTTAGAGTGTCAGAAACTGAGACAAAGTATATGCCAGCATCTCTGT